CCTCGTCTCTGCCTGCTGCTGTGACACCCCACGTAACTGGGGGGAGCATCTGAGTGGGGGGAGCCTGGGGAATAGTAGAGGTATTATGCAGATCCTCTCCTGAGCAAGGAAAGATACCTGCCCAAGGGATGCCAGCTCTTCCCAGGACATGCAGAGCTCACCTCCCACAGGGCTGGCGTGGTTGCCCAGAGGGATGGGAGATGTAGCATCCCTGGGAGTGTTCAAGGCCAGGTTGGATGGGGCTTTGACCAAGAGGATCTAGTGGAAGATGTCCCCCACCATGGGAGATCAGGGATGGGAACCAGATGATGCTTAGGGTCCCTTCTGACCCAAACCATTCTGTGATTAGGGTTTGAAAGAAGCCACAGCTCTTCTCCTCTGTCTTAGGAAGAAAAGCTGAGCTCAAAGAAGGCTTGTGGCCGTGAACCCTGAACAACTCAGGACTCTCAGGCCAAGATCTGTGACCAAGGCCCCAAGGCAGCTGGTGGAACTGTGGCAGTGCCACATTCCTGAGGAGGCTACACAGGCATCTTTGGCTGCCCTGGAGGCATCTGTGAGCCCACAGCCCTGATGGATGGGGAAGGGAAGGTAGGAGGGTGCTGAGAGAGGCTTCCCAGTCTGAGCTGAATGGAGAGAAGCAGTTTTGGACTGGGCGATACATCTGCTGGTGTAAAAGGCAACTTGCACTTCAGCCTGGGTGTACAACATAACTGGAGAGGAGAGCTTAACAAAAAAGGTCTTGGGATTGCTGGTAAGCAGCAATGTGCCCAGGAGTCAGCAGCACAGCCTTGCCGTGCTGGAGAACTGCATCCTGGGCTGTGTTAGCAAGAGTGCAGCCAGGAGACATCACCCCCATCTTCCCAGCACTGGGAGACCATATCACTGTGCCATGTCCACTGCTGAGCTATCCCGTGCACAGAGATACCACCACACTGGAGATGTCACCCATGTGGATCCAAGCCTCTTGAAATTCTGGGATCCCTGCCATGTCAGGCTGCCTCAGCTCTTAAACCTCCCCAGATATTCCAACCATGCAGTGCTGTGTGGCCTTACAGTGCTGTTGACCCTTTCTTCTCTGTCTACTCCTGCCAAGGCTGGGCCAGCATCCACAACTTTAGGAAGGTAGGATGATGCTGGCTTGACCCATTGTCTCTGGTTAGCTCCAGGTCGTGGCTGGTAGGGCTGAGCTGAGCTGCTGCTTCTCTCCTGCCCTCAGTGCTTGCTCTTGGCAATGTGACACTGCCTTCTCCTCTTGAAAGAACCCTACCCAGAAAGCTGACTCTCTTTTGAAGTGAACATTTTGTCTTTAATTCCTCTTTTGAGTCTTATGAAAAATTTTCCCTTTGAAAGTCTTTTCTTGCTGCACCAGCAGCCTCAGGTCTGCTCCTGGCATAAAACTGGCAGCCGTTGTGAGAAGTTCCCAGACAAATGATGGACATTTGCACGTGTCTGTGCAGGTTCTGAAAGCAATTTTATTCTGCAAGATGAGCCCAGACTACAGCCAGGATCTGGTGGATCCACAGCCTGCATGGGTTGGGAGCAGCTTGGGATGACTGGTATTTTTCTGCCGATGTCACCTACACCCGCAAAGCAAAAAGACAATAAGGACTTGCTGGATCAGGAAGGTTTTAGAGTTCTGAGCACAATTTTCACCTCAGTAGGAAACACATTGCTTATAACTTGGTCTCGTGAGGATCCCTAGGAACCCACCACAGGTGAAAGAAAGGCCCAAGACAAAGCAGGGAGCTCTGCTGCTTCTCAAGAGAAGAGGCAAAGAAAGCAGCTCTTGAGATACAGGACCAGCCCTCCTCACGCCCAGCCCCACAGCCACCCAAATGGGCCCCAGCAGTGCACTGCTCTGGCCACGTCCCCGGTGCAGACAGGAGGAGGAAAGGGTCCTAATGGTCTGGAGCTGGCTTGATGAGGATGGCAGAAGCTCTGCAGTTCCCTTTGCACAGGGTGCCCCATGTCATGCCACCCTTGACGTTCAGCCGCACGGCGTAACACGCCGAGTACCACCAGCCGCCCCCAGAGCGGGAGGCACAGTTCCCCCTGGAGGTGTCCTGGTCCCGGTCCTTTGTGGAGAACTTCATGTTGTTGTGCACGTTCTTGGGATTGTCTGAGTCCATGGCATCCCCCGCCGTGCCTGAGTAGGTGCCCAGCCTCAGCCGGTAGCCCTGGGACTCGTCATCCACGCTGAAGAAGTTGTAATCGGCGAAGTTGATGCTGTTGGAGGCATCCCAGATGATGAACCTGACCTGGTAGACCTTCTGCTTGGAGATCTGATGGATGTACTCGGTGCCCAGCCAGTACTCAGTGTGCACATTCCCAAAGCCGTGCTTGTAGGTGCTCCAGGACTCTGCCCAGGTGAGGTGTGTGTCCTGCTGGTTCCTCTGGATGACCGTCCAGCGCCCGCCCGCCACGCTCATCTCGCAGTACACCACCATGGGGTGCAGCCCTGTGGGCTGGATGATGTAGCCCCCGCTGGGGCGGCCAGCCTGGACCTCACTGCAGTCCTTGGGCAAATCTGGAGCAGGAGAGAGGATGATGTATCAACACCCTGTGCAATGGGACAAGACCATGGCAGGACAGAGGGATGTCTGGCCAGAGTACCTGGGGGTTAATCAGCTGTCCCAACCCAGAGAGGCCAGTGCTCAGCTGGAGGTGAGAGTGGGTTGGACTTAGCCCTCTGTTCCTCTTCCATGTGGGACACCTAACAGGGGGCAGCCCCAGTGAAAGGCCCCAGTCCCACTGGGCTATGCTGGTACGAGGCCAGGAGACTGACATGGGAACCAGTTGGCTCCTATGGGTCTCCTGAAAAAGGGGCTGTGTCACTAACACAGGGTCATCTGGAGGGTGAAGAGGCCCTTGCCCCTGCCCGTGACCCTGCAGGCACACAGACACCCTTACCAGTCTGCACCCACACAGCACTGCAGCCTGCACTGGGGACACCTCCTCACACCCACCACCCCCATCCTGGAGCTGGGCCAGGGCTAGGGGTGCTGTGGGCACCTTCCCCACCCAGAGCTGGCTGTGTGAGCACCCAACACTGGATCCCCCTGTGGTGCCAAGCGTGGTCACCCCATGCCTTCAGCTCCCTTGCTGGAGAACCTCCCACTGCAGAGGGAGCAAAGCCTGGGGAGATGCCGTGTCTCCCCAGCCCACCTGCCTGTAAACACCATGGAGGTGTTTTGGGGATCTGAGGCATCACAGCACACCCTCCTCGAGGTATATTTTACCACTCAGAGCAAGGAGCTGAAGGGGGGTGGTGGGAGCACCGTGATGCCCACGGGATGCTACATACCGGTTTTCTTCAGAGCACTTGCTGAGGCGTTGGAAGGAGATTTCTTGAAGATGTTCAGGTTTTGTACATGCATGGAGTGGCCCAGGGCAGCCAAGAACTGTAGGCAAGCAAGGAGTAGAAGGCACCGGGCTGCTAGAAGAGATGGAGAAAAGATGAAACGTGACCCTGCCTCCAGAGAGGTGGGGGCTCAGCCCTGCACAGTGCAGCACGACCAGCTGGGCTGCAGGAGTGCACCAAGTGTGCTGGGCAGCATCAGGCTGGTCTGTGTGAGCTGCAAAGCTTGCCAAAAAGCCTCTCAGCTCTTTTGCCCAAGGGGTAGACAACCTTGCCTTCCCCTTGACCATCTCCCAAAAGGTCATCATAAGATAGATTTGGGTGGAACAAAGCACCCAACAATCCCCTGAGCCAGGATTCATTCCTGGCCCCGGAGCAGGGGTGAGCCAGAATGCAGGGCAGAAGCTGCTGTTGTTCAAAGGAGTGGCAGGTGAGCAGAAGACAACACCACCACTGGTCCCCATAGGCATGTGAGGACCAGCACATGGAGCCTCTGCTCATTCCTGGGCTGCCCTACCCCTGCTAGGAAGGGGCACCCCTCTCCCCAGCACTCCCCAGCCCCGTACTCACCCATGGTGTCCGTGTAGGAATGGTCTCAGGAGCACAACGCTGTGGAGCAGCAGCTCTCATGAGGCATTTGTAGTGCCCTCCATGTGGGCGGGGTGAGTGGGTCCTACCCCCACTCCCAGCTTCCTTTCTCCTGGAGGAGAAAATGAGGCTGGGATTCCTTTGTGCCCTTGGAAAGCACAAGCAGACATGAAGGTGCCTGTGGTTCCAGGTTCACAGCTTCCTGAGCTGCAAAGAAAATAACCCTGTGCCAGCAAGAGCCCTTGGAATGGTCTCTCTGGAAGTGCTTAGCTCCTTGGGTGGAATTTCCCCTGGGAACAAAGTATTTGGGAGCTCTGAAGAATGCAGCTCAGTAAATAAACACTTGAATGCCAGTCCCTGCCCAGTGTGGAGAGCAAACAGTGGGGATGTCCCCGCCTCCCACCACCACAGCTGGGTGCTGCCAGGTCAGCTGGGCCTTGTTTAATGTGCTTTTGACAAGCCCAGCCTAGCTCCTGGGGTGAAGCCAGAGCAGCCCCAAGACTCCCAGGGAAACTGTGGTGGGACAGTGTTTGGAGTGGTTGGTGTTTCTGGGCTGCATGGCATCAGGCAGAGGGTTGTGGTGGAGGTGGTCTCCATCAGGGGGAAGCAGGGGAGGTCTCTATACCCCAGTGGGCCAGTCCTGACCTGCAAGGATGGAGCTGAATGGCCCTGCTGAAGACAATGTGGGGCACTGGGTTTGGGAGACTTTTCACACAGGAGGGATGGCTACAGGGGAAGGCAAGTGTCTGCCCAGGAACAGAGTGCAGATGGGTGGATGGAGGTCACCAGTGGGGACCTGAGCAGGTACAGAGGGGAATGGAGGAGACCCCCGTGTGCATGGAGGGAAGGGGGGGGAGCAGAGGGGCTGGAAGGGATCTGATGGTGGAGCCCCTAGGAACTGAGCACCCTCAGAAGGGCTGGGTGGGATCCAAGTGTCAGTGGAGGGCAGCAGTGGGAAGCTGAGGACCCTTGTCATGGAGAAGATGGATGTGAGTGTGCCCAGAAGGGAGAAGTCAGCACTAAGCAGGCTCTGAAAGAAACAGAGGAGTTCTGGTTGCTGGAGGAGGGGAACAGAGATCTGGGTCTGTACAGAGGGAACTGGAGGACACCTGAGCCCTCGGAGGAGTGGAGAAGATCCACTTGTGCAAGGGGGGCAGCAGAGGAGTTCCAGGAGAGCACAGTGAGGGGCACAGAGAGGGTATGAAAGCAGCTGGATAGGAATGGAGAGCACCTGAGAGTGCTTGGAAATGAACAGAAGGAGCCCGAGGAGATCTAGGAGCCCCCAGAAGGGAACAGAGGGGATCTGCCAGCATGCAGAGGGGGCAGGGTTTGGATGCAAGGGGCAGGGGCTGGGGGGCACACAGGGCAGAGCTGAGCGCCAGCACTCGGGTAAGTGCGAGCTGCAGGCTCCAGGATGGGCACACGGTGGCTCTGGTGTGTCACCAGACGGCTGCAAGAGGAGAAAGTCCCTGCTGGGGTCAGCGACTGATATTTTTTTCATATTTTTCTGGTAGCTGTTTATTTTTTTCCTGAGATGTCTAGCTACATTTAAAGGCAACACAGAGCCCTGGAGATACCCTGATCACAGTCTTAAGGGTTTGTCTAAGACACTATGTCTGTAACCACAAACAGCCACACAATAGAGGAAGAATGCTGTAGGGTTCCTTGGTTACAGACATAGTGTCTAAAAAATCTGTAACAGCAATTTATCCGAATGAACAAATTGATCTCAGCTGGGTTATACACTGGTATAAAAGTGAACGTGAGAAAAGACTTCCAGAGAAATAATGAGAGGAGAAGGTAACCTGGTGTTTGCAGTAGCCATGACATATAAAGGCATTATTAAACACAAGTATCTTTGATACATCAATATCAAGGTTTCCTAGTCTGACCTTCCCTTAGTGCCAGCTGGGTCAGGATGGTCAGAGCTGGATTTTGGGCTGCTTATGCACTGCCCAGGACCCAGTTCTGCCCACAGATGTCTGTATATGCAAGCCCAAGAACCCCAGTGCTCCATCTCCAGCATAATCCAGATTTTCAGAACTCTGTGGTTCTGTTTTTAGACTGTTCCCATTTGCACATGCCACCCTCAGTGAAAGAAAAGTAACTGCAGAAATTTTGGTCCTCAGGGATGGATCCACATGCCAAGCTCCTCTAGGGTGAATCCTGGCATCTGGAATCCCCTGGGGGACCCTGTTGTCCAAGTCTGTGGAATGCCCAGTGGTCCCTGAGGCCTGGGAGGCTCCTGCATTTCCAGATGGCCCTGGGAGGCAGAAGAAGAAATGGAGGAAAAGGGAGAAGGGGAAAGGGACCCTATATCCCCATCTGAGGGGGTGCACCCTGTGGCATCTGGGGTACCCAAGGGGAAACTGAGAGGTCGTGGGATCAACTGTTGGCTCTAAAGTGAAAATGTGGGACCCTGGGGGCAGCTAGGTCAGCTGGCTGTAACTAGGGCCCCCAAAGGGACAGTGGGGTTTCTGGGGAAAGGGGCAGGGTCTCGGGGGCAATTAGGGAATCTGGGGGAAGCAGGGAAGCCTGGAGTGGTCCTGGGTGCAGGGGACAGGTCCTGAACGGGCCAGAGGACAATGAGAGTCTCAGGGGGAAGCAGGGGGCCCTGTTTGGGGGTCCCATCAGTCTATGGCCCCCGTTCCCCTCACGTCTGAAGGGAATCCCAAGGGACTGAAGGTCAGGGTGGGGTGGGGGTCCCATGCTGGTCTGGGGGAGCCCCTGAAGCACGGGGCCTTCGAGGGGCAGGTTCTCCAGGGCAGGAGCACTCACAGCAGCAGCAGGAGGATGAGGAGCAGCCCGGAGCCCAGCCCCAGCCCCAGCCATGCCATGGGGAGCAGCACGTCGCGGAACCGAGCCTGGAGTCCCTGCTCTGCTTCCACGTCTCCTGCAGACACTGTGGGCACCCAGGCACACCTCAGGCCATGGGGCACTGCCCCCCCGAGGGACCAGGTGCCCCCCAGCCACGCACCCCACGGGGAGGGTGTGTGTGTGTCCCTGCTCCACCTCATGTGCCCCAGCACCCCCAGAGGAACCATGCACCAGGGACCACCTCCTCCACTCCACCAAGGACCCAGGTGCCCTGGCACGCTGCTGACACCCCCCGCACCCCCCACCAAGTGCTGGCGTCCATCCAGGACTCTGGGCTCACCGTTGAGGTAGAAGAACTTGCGGACCAAGGGCTCAGAAAGGTTCCCCAGGAGACAGGCGACGGTTCCCAGTGGGGGTATGGGGAGGGTCAGCCTGGGGGTGTCCACCACGGACCCCTGCAGCTCCTCAAACAGCGTCAGGTCCCGTGTGCGCAGCTGGGGCACGGGGAGACACGGCAGAGCAGCCTGGTGCACCAGCAGCACGACAGCACACACGAGTGTGCAAGGGCACCCGTGCCCCACACACGCTCATCACGTCCCCTTCCTGCTTCTCACACCCCAGGGGTGCACCCCCCATCCCACGGGCTCCTTGTGCACACGTGCAGGGATGCACGAGCAGAGCCTACACAAAAGTCACCTCATAGAAACACTGAAGCCCAGACTGGTTTGGGTGGGAAGAGACCTTGAAAGTTCATCCAGTCCAACCCCCCGGCAGGGAGCAGGGACATCTGCAGCTAGAGCAGGGTGCTCAGAGCTCCATCCAACCTCACCTGGGATGGTGCCAGGGATGGGGCAG